GTTAGGAATTTTAACAAAATCTAAGATAAACAATAAACCAGCATTACGTTACTAACCAGAAGCTCCAAGGATGTTAATCTATCACGAGGATCCTTTTGGATGCTGTAAATAAACCAAGGAATTAACTCAAACAAAACAAGTCAAACTGTATCTACAGCAGAAGAGTAACCAACAGATACTAACTAAAGGCACACAAACATGCAAACATATTAAACTTCAGTGGCATATTTCTGTTTTGATGTTGAAACAAAGGAGGTGAAAAGAACTAAGAAATCACCAGGATGACACGAATGAACAGAACTCCGGGGAGAACTGATCAGGAGGAGCAGAAGGTGGGGGACTGTCCACAATTGCTGCCAGAAGCTCATAAAAACTAGGCCAGCTTTGCTGATCCTCGGACTGAATATAAGGAAATCTTCCTATGGCACATTCAAGCACTACCATACCCAAACTCCAGATGTCACAGCTATAATCATAAGTACTCCCACTGATTCTTTCTGGCTAAACAAGGAAATTAACAGAAACAAACCATTGTTAAGCATTTTGTAGATGCAAGGTATGGAGAAAAGGAAAAGGTTCATAAATTTGATTACAACTTCCAAGCAGCTTCTGGTAAAATATGGAACATGGTTAAATAAGGAAAGTTACACACCGACATGTAATTGTAAGTTCCAACAAATGTATCTCTTTGACCCATTGAGCTTGCCAGCATAGCACTAACACCAAAATCAGTAATTTTCACCTCCCCTTTGTGATTAACTAACAGATTGGATGGTTTAATGTCTCTGTGTATTACATGTCGTTCATTGTGCAGATAAACAAGACCTTGCAATACCTGAAATATGCATGTGAATGGTTAAAGTTTGGCATCAACTATTGCAAGGACTAGAAGCTTCAATTTCAACAAGAAATGGAAATATGGTCCAGCATACCTGCTTACAAACCACGGCAAGATATGGTTCCAGAATAGTTTTAACTTGTTTGATTACATCTGCTAAAGAACCACGATCCATGTATTCTAACACAAGTGATATAACTCCATTGTGATAGAACGAGTGATAGCAAACTACAACATGTGGACACTGTGACGCCTGATTTATTTTCAGTTCCTGAACAATCTGTTTTCGAATATCCTCTTGTATATTCATCTGAATAACCTGCAATAGAAGTCCAAACATATTTCCCAATCATAAAAAAGGTAAAACCCAATTGAAAATACTGAAAATCATTTTCATAACAATAGCCTTTCTTTTAAAAGACAGTGTATAACAGATGCAATATCTCAATGTCAAACAGAAACCAAGGGATAAGATGAAGAAAGAATAAACAAAAAAAATTCTGAAAAGAATATCCATACACGCAAATCTACCCATAAGAGGTAATTAACAAAACATGCCCATGACAACCTTTAAAGCAAACAATCTTCCAACCCACTTATGGCGAACAAGTTGTACCACACCACCACTGCCTTTTCCAATTACTTTGACGGTCTCAAGGTCATCCAGTGTGAAGTCAAATTCCAGTTCCTTACCATCCGAAGGCTGTTCAAAGAGGTAAATTATAAGCGTGGATATTAGAATCACAAAATACAGAGAAAAAAAGACAGAGACAGAAACAGAAACAGAAAAATGAATCTGTGAATGGCATAATGATGCATGCATAATGGTGATAGAGTATTAGGTTAGAATGTGCAGTATGGGCCCAATAGAAGAATTTGTTTCTTAATACGTTGAAATATTATTCATATCAAGTCATCATGTTTAATACACTACAGTCTTGTTTTCTCTATCTGAGATTCAAAGAGCTGGTAAATGATATGAGATGAGAAAAGTAACAGCAACCATAAAAGAAAAAACCACCAAGCCTTCTTCACGTGGTACAGAAGAGAAGTAGAACAACTTGGGTTGGAATCTGCATTATGATGAGTGGTATAACTGAGAAACCATCATCTTTGCCATGTTTCTAGTATCTACATCCATAGTGATACCATAACCAGTTAGCAATTCTTTTATTCCTCCCATTGATGAATTTGAGCCACCAGAGTTAGAGTCCTTTTTCAACTTTTTGATTTCCAATGATAACACAGGTTCCCCATACTACTGTAAGAAGCAAGATGAACGGTCTAGCCAACAAACCAACTACAGTGGAAGCATACTCTTGTGCACTGTCTTTGTCAGTGGAAAGCAACAAGAATTAGAGACTCGGGAAGGGAACCAAGATTACCAAAAGCAATGCCACCAAAAACACCTGGGTCAAATAGGATTCTCCAACAACAAGTACTCATAATTCATAAACCTTCGGTCTTTGAATTGTATATAAGAATCTTGGGGTTGAGCGTCATCAACCCCATCACCAGGACGAGCATAGAAAGAGGAAACAAGTAGAGGGGAACAAAATCAAAATTGAACTCCGTCATTGATTGAAACATATAATAATGCACAATATAAATTCTGCAGAACATAATGGATGAAAATTATAAATCACTAGGAATGTAAAGTGATAGAGCTACCCGTGATTCCTTTTCTTCAGAGATAAGACGCAACCCTTTCTGATTCAACAGTAGATCTCCATCATGGAACGTTCCACTAGCAGTCCTAATCCCAATTTGACAATAACCAAATCGTTCAATTTCAAACACATAACAGAAGTAAAGTAATTTTTTTTTAAGATAGTAGAAATCAAAATGTGAACTTTCTTCACTTTTTTTGGTCCTGAATTGAACAGGTATTTAAATCACGATAAAATTACAAAAACTAAAGCTATTTATGAAAATATATCTTTGAATCCTGTGACCCATGTCTACCCTAGCACATCGTAGACACTATCAAAAAGCCCAGAACATAGAGAAGCAACAAAATGAGGCAGTGAGAGTAAAAACGGGAACTTTATTCATAAATTGAAGAAATATGCAAAGAAGACGAAATGGGTTGGTAAAGGAAAAAGAAAAGGAAATTAAAGTACAGGAAAGAGGTAATGGGGGTTTTCTGAGCAGGAACGGCGAGCTTTAGCTGCTTCAATGGCGTCTTCGTCTTCATCTTCGCTGTTCACTGACTGATATCGTTGTTGTTCTTCTCTTCTGCTTTAGGATCCACGCTTCAGTGATTCACAGTTTCTCTTCTCTCTTACACACACAAAGCAGAAAGGAAGTGTGCGGAAGAAAGTGTATGAATAAATTCAAACGAAGTGGCCGCGAAAATAAAATAAGTATTTTATATTTTTATTTATTTTTAATGAATTGTTTATGAATAAGTTTCATGTTGTAGACAGAATACCGTTTAAGGACAACAAGTGCTCATTCCTTTCAAATTTTCAATCATATCTTAATGGAAAAACTCAAATGTAGAAAAAAAAATGTGCACGTGTTATCAAATTTCAAACTTAAATTTGTTTTTTACAATATAGTTTTATTTTACTTTTAATTTATATAAAAAAAATATCATTTTTAGTTTGTGGGAACTTTTTCTTTTGTTCGGATCATTTCTTATTTTAGTCTTTCTAAAATATTAATTTTTGCATATAGATTTTTAGTTCATCCAACATATATTTTTAAACAAAAAAAAAAAGAATATTTTCAATGTCTTCTAATACACAACTAGAAAAACATTATCAATCAATTTTCATTTTGATTTTAAAATAAGTTTTAAAACTTAAATATATTAGTGAACTCAACCTCCCAAATATATTAGTATTTTTTTCTTAGTATTTTCATGGGTAGTGTGATTTAGCCAATGATAGAATTCATGAATATCTTTTGTAAGTTATCCCAAACTTGATACAATATTATTAATACAATTATTTTGGTTAAAAAAATGAGAATATTAATTGTATAGAAGTACATTGAATTAATCACCAAACACTTATTTCCTACTTGCAGATTCCTTGACATTTTTTACACCCATATAAAAAAGATAATACACAAAATTTACACATAAGTTTCATAGATATACGTTTTATTTATGAAGCTTTCCAATTAAAATTAAGGTTTCATTTGGGTAAATATTTGAATTAAAGAATCATGTAAATTACCAAAGTGAAATATTATTTCTTCTGCGCAACAATACAAATAGCACTGGTAAAACAATATAAAACTTTATCCTAAAATAATATTATTAGGCTATGTTGAAAAAATAATGGTATTTTGATATAAAAATTTTTTGCACTTATTCTCCATTATTTATCAATTTTTTTTCTTTGCATATATAAAAGTTAATTTTTGAAATGATTATTTTACTCTTAAGAGTAAGTTGTAAAGATATTAAAAAATCATCTTCCTATGAAAAATCGGTATATATAATTTGTTATAAAAGTTAATTATTTTTTAAAATTAAAATCCAAAAAATAAAATACGATTGTTCCAACCGACTATGTCAAGCTTCTAAAATTGAGGCTAAAATTTTGAGCATATTTGATTAAGTCAAACAAACGATTTAAATTTTATTTTCACGAATTAAATATATTATTTCATTTATTTATAGTTAATTTTTAAGTAACAACTGATTTGACCCACTAATCCATCAGTCATAAAATTTATAGACCAATTTACAGAAATTGATTTCGAAGAAAGTTGATTGCACAAACTGATTTCTGAAAATTTATGTTTAGTTTTTTATTCTTAAAAAAAAAGTTAATAAAAAAATAAAAAAATATATATTTTGAAACCTATAAATTTTTTACCTTCATTTAATATTATTTTTTAAAATTTTTACTCTTTTATTTTTTCAAAAATATAAAATCTTATATTTTTATGATTATTTTATGTTTGAAAATAAACATAAAAATGTAATATGTCCTTACTGAAAGTATATATATAACATAAAAAAAAGAAGGTAATGAAATTTAAAATTTAAACAAGGAAGAAGTGCTTCACTCTGATATGCTTATTGTCTGCAACAACTCCCAACATGCAGCAGCATGGGGTTGAAACAATGCAGATCATAATCGTAAATAACAACTTACAATATACCCAAAGAAAAAAAGTTAATAATTTTGGAAAAATGTCGATCTCTACAGACCCTGGTCGACAAGGTAATCTCCCAACCTCTCAACAACCATGTTGCACTGTCCAGGAGTAACAGGTTCTTCGTACATACCAAAAACTAAAGCTTGCCCAGTTTTCTTTATGGTTATTCCTCCAGATCCCTGTCCGATACAACAACCATATCCTCAATCAGAACAAACGTTTATACATCTACACCAATTTTTCTTTTTCATAGCTCAAATAATCTACCAAAATGCTTGTTTTACTGAGCTTTTCGTCAATCACTTCATATTTCTTATTCACAGTAAAACAAAGCGACGAAATCACACTCACAACCATGAACAACCTCAAGAAGAATTATGACTAGAAAAGGTAACAAATATGAACAACCTGAAGAAGAATTATGACTAGAAAACCCTAAAAATATACTTTAAACTTAAGTTAATCTTATACAACTAATTTGTAAACGATGTTTACCTCTGTTTATATACTGTAAATTAATTTTATTTAATTGTTGTATTATTCTTTGTTGGTTTGAGTGACATAGGAGACTAGATTAATCCAAAAATGGTTATCGATTCCGTAATGTATTGCTTTTTAAAGATAACAAAGGACAGAAAAAATAAAAATAATTCTTTGACACGTATAAATGAGTATACGGTATTATGACATACTTTTACTTTCATTTTAAGATTATTTTTTCTTATTTTTTATACTTTTTTTTAAAAATATAAAAATTTACATTTTTATAATATTTTATTCTTGTAATGTATGTGAAATGAATGTAAAAATGTGTCATCATATCATTTCTCTAAAATGTTTGGAGTGAAATGCTATAAAAGATGAGAGTGAAAAAGGAGAAAAATAGTGATATATTTGGAAAAGTATATACCTTTTTTCCACGGATGACGGCACCTGGCTCTCCCTGGATTACCATGTATTTGGTGCCGGAAAGGTGGAGGCCAGTGGGAGCAAGATAGCCAGGTTCATCAAAATCTTTCATGATGCCATTGATCTCATCAGATTTAATCTGAAAATATATATATAAATATATTGCATGAAATGGATGATGTGAATGGAAAGAAAGATGAATAATATAAGTAGGTTTTGTAAGAGATTGTGTTGCATGATGCAGACCTGAGGGAATGCAGAACTTTGAGCCCAAACGGAGCCATCATGGCCGATGATGGCAGCGGCGGTGAGATGGTGTCCGGTGCCATCGATGTCACACATCAAGTGTTCATCTACGTAGGTTTGCCACGACATTATTAATTAATTGTGTTTTAGGTGGTTCTGTGTTTTGTTCCTTTGTGTCTGGTTTTTGTGTGGAATGAATGTTGTTTTAAAAGATGACATGCATGCGGTGATGCGGAGTGGCTTATGAGATGACCGTCCATTTTGCACTTCTTTCAATTCTTACCATTCAACCAACCCTTCCTTTTAGGAACCTTATTCAATTCCCCTCTTCTTTTCATTCCCCAAATAGATTCTTTTCCAAACTCACCAAATACATATAAACAAAATTTTTAATTATTCACTTTTTTTTTTATTATTTTTACCCTCACATTTTCTTAAAATGCATTATGTTTAAAAATATAATTGTATTAGCCATTTAGACTGCTTTTTATTTCCATTGACCAGTTTCCTAATCGGATACGCCTTTCAAATTTGACTACTATAAAACTATAAGGCTTTTACTTTCTGCACCCCACATTTTAACCGAACTAATGTATGTTTTTTTCCTATACTTCCAAGATTTTTTCCTCCACCTCCATGCACCTCCAAACTACCAAAAATGCTTCTTAATAAATCTTAAACAGATTTAAAAATCCATCAACACCTTTAATAGATTTCAATATCCAGGTGAGAAATTTTGAAATCCATTTAAAAAATATAGCGAATTTCAAAATCTGAACATAAGCAATTTTTGAAATCCGTTAAAATATGTTAACGAAATCCATTTATCATTTCTCTTAAATTTTGTTTTTAAATTTTTAAAATCTGTGTATTTTTTTTTTCAAAATTTTGAGTAATATTAATAATAATAATAACAATAATAATATAAAACATAATTTAATACATATGAATATATTAAATTATATTAGAATATTAGAAATCCGTTTAATATATATTAATGCGTTTCGAAATTGGTTTAATAATTTTTTTAAAATTTAACATTTAATAATAATCTAGTTTAATTTAATATTTTGATATTATTTAATATATATTCATATTTTAATAATTATTAAAATATTATTTTTTATTATACTAGTTATAATAAAAAAATAATTAAAATAAAAATAGTAATAACAAAAATAAAAATAACAATAATGAAAAAAATAATTATAATATAAAATATGTTAAACGCATCTCGAAATAACATATGTTCACGGATTGTTTGAAATTCGTTTGACATATTTTATCAAATTTTAATTTTTAATTTTAAATTAAAAAATATTATTTTAGTTTTTATAATAAAATTTCATATATGTTAATATTTTAATAGTTAATATAAATATTGATATTATAATAATTTTTACTTTTCTTGTATTTTTATTTTATTTTTTAAAATACCTTTTATTTGTTTCAGTTGAATAAAATAAATTTTAAAATGTTAATAAATATTAAATTATATTAAAATATTAAATTAAATTAAATATTTATTAATTTTTAAATTAAAAAACAAAATTTAAAATAATATGTTAATTGAGCGGCAATGTCTTATATACCTAGCGCCGAATCCTGGGACCCTCAATCCAAATGCTTCTGAAGTTTGATATTTAAAATGTTTATATACTTGACTAGTGTTGAAATCTTATTTTGGTCATTCACTATTATATTTATACTTTATATTATATTCTTCAAAATCTGCACCGATTAGGTAGCATATGATTTAAATTTGAGGTGATTTGCAAAGTGAATTAGCTAATCAATGGTTTTTTATTCAATACTTACTTTTTCTTTAGCTTACATTTTGTCAGGTTGGTCCTTAGGTTTAACAGTATGTTGATCATGCATGTCAGTACTGCAATTGTTACGCTGCTGAAGTTTCAGCTTTCGCAACTTCAGCGATATTATGTGTGAAGTTTTAAATTATATTTCCTCAGGATCCATGAGACGCTTTAAAATATAAGCAGTAACTATTAACAAATATTATAAAGATCACTTATTAATCCTAAATTGATTCTATAGAGAACTCACGTTGAATCTGGATTGCTTTCAAATGTCCCGAAAGAATAAAAATATCGGTAGCTCATATTGATTGGTTCGCGAAGACGTGGCTGAATTCGCGTTTAAGCAGCTGGGGGATTTCGGTAATAAGCTGGAACGGTTGTAGGGAAGAACATCTGACGGACTCCTTCTGCCTTGATTATTGGCATGATGATACCTGATGCACTCTGAATAGATAGAATAGGTTTTTGCAGTTAGATTAAAGGGAGTTTTCCGACTAATTTTCCAGATAAAAGAACAATTAATACACAATTTTTGCTACTTACAGAAATTAATCGAAGTCCGATCCATATCCGTTTAGGTGAAGGAAATGGTAGTAGTAAACGGCCGACACCATATATTGCAACAGCAAAGAAATGGAGAACCAGGGTCAAGGGCCGAGGATTTAACCCCGAAAGCAGAGAGATTGGTCCTTCCGAGAATTGGCCTCCAAGACTAAGATAATCGAAGCAAGCTTGGCGCATTTCCTTCCTCGCTGGATCAGGTGATGCGCAAAAAACCTTATAAAGAGCTCCTGCCAGGGTATTTATAGTGGACGCCACAGGCTGCAAATTGAAAGATGAAGATAGTTAGGGTAACATATTCGTGTTTTTTGTGTTTCGTTTAGGAAAAGAAAAATAAGTGATTGCCTAAATTCAGTGTATCAATGTTATAGAGCACATTACTTTTCGCAAGGTATAAAAGGATTCAAGGTATTTGCAAAGGCTGGGTGCATCATTCAGATTACGCAAAGGCCTGAGAAGATTTCGAAGCACTACTATATCAGATAATGCCACAGTCATGCCACCCCCCGTTAGAGGATGGCGCATGTTGAATGCATCTCCCATCAGCAGGGCTCCGGGAGTAGGATGAGGAGCAGCTGGCATGCTTCTGTTTGGCATTGTCCTGATGCGGCCTTTGTCCACTGCAGCTATGAATGCGTCATGAAGCTCATGAGGAACCTGCATTCAATTTTCCCTTATCATTATCCAACACTATTAACAGAGAATGCGAAATAAATTCCTGCTCCCGTTGAAATAAATCTGCCAAGGTTTATAAAGAATTTGTAGAACCTCTAATATATAGGGTACCTGGGGAGCGATCACCGTCTTCAAATACTTAGCCATTTCACCATTGGAAATAGACGGAACTTTCTGGCCAGGAACATCAACTAGGCAGCGGATTTCTGTACTACTTATTGGATAGAACAGAACAGGCGAAGGTTCTCCCAGTATGACATGGCCATGATTTGCACAAGGAAGTTCACAATTCTCCAAAACTAGGCCTACGAAACAAGAAGGCACATCTACCTATAAACAAAGCATCGTAATCAGGAATACACTAAGCAAACGTTAACATTTAACCGAGAGAAGGGGGAACTCTCCAAATGAATAATATCAAAATGTTAATTCCTGGTATGAAAGGCTGATACTTCAGAGCCAAATTTTATTTGACTCTGGAAACTAAATCATGCGTTTAAGCTTAATAAGTTGTATTATCACCTTAGGATTACAAAGAGAACGACGCAAATTTGAAAAACAGCCATCACAAACAATGGTAAAGGGTGCGCAAACTGATAATTCTTGACTATCCTTGGTTTTGTACTGCACGCCTTTAATTACCCCCTTCTCTTCGAGTAGGGAAGTAACTGTTCCTTGCTCCAGTCTTACACTGTTAAATGAAAAAAATAATTAAGTGAAAAAATAAATATGTATATACGTGTGTGTGAACAAGAAAGTACCTTTAGTTCAAGTCTAGAATGATACGTCTATTTTTCAATTTTTAAATATGATTTCTGAATTATATTGGCTAATGATAGTGACTACTTATAGGTATATAGCTGTCTGGATGATAGGAACATAGGGAGATAACCTGATTTCATAAATAACTTCAAACCTAAGTAACATGATTAGAATATTAAGCCAATTCAGATCAAATGGCATCGATGAGAGAGTTTCAAAAATCAGGTAAAATGATGTGCTACTCAAACTAAATCCTGTGTAGTAGGCAGGTGCAACACCTTAACAACTCAATTTTTTTTAAAAAAAAAAACAAGAACGGCAAAGTAAAGGAAGAAACCAAATACTTGGGAAGGGAGGCAGCCTTCTCTCTCATCCTCTGAATAAAACGCCCATTGTGAAAGCTTCTGCCGGCAACATCTGAGTGAAACTTTTCCAACGGATAAGAGAGTCTTATGTGTTTTCCATCCTTGAAAAGAGCATAACCAAACACTTGTTGAGCATCAATTTTATCCACACAATCTACAGTGATAGGGAATCAGTGGTCATTCTACATTTTGCACAAGCCATAGTTAAAATCACCAAACAAATGTGTATTATTTCTAGCACTCGCGATTAGTCACAGTAGGACTATTATATGTCGAATGTCTATAAAGTTAAGTTAGCACTACCTTCAAGTCCCAGCTCAATTAACTTGAGATAACCACCAGGCTGTAGCAACTCTCCAACAATTCTGTCTGGTTCACTCAAATCTCTTTCAATTACAAGTACTTGACGTCCATCCTACATTAGATGATAATTATGCTATCAAAAGTTAATTGTGAATCTGTTTGAGAAAACAGTACTTAAAAAGCCCCAAAAATGTATCTGCGTTCATACTGATCAAATGTCACAGCTCAAAAATTACTAGAAAAAGGTATTATATTCATACATTCAGTCTCTCTTCCATTATAGTTTCCTTCTTATCTCCCTCTTCATTCTTTATCAAATTATCTATCGTATTTACCAGCTCTCTCTCTCTTTAGCATCTTTTTCTTTTATACCAACCAAAAAATTCCATGAAAAAGGACACGGAGAAGGATAGAACCAGCTGGATCGCATAACTCCTAGTCCTAAAGCACATATTGCTATATCATCTAACAACTACAATCAACCCATATAAACAGCATCACTAAGCATAAATAAAGAATCTCCATCAATAAAAGTGAAAATTTCTGGCCACAAGTTTAAATTGGGCGCAGGATAAAGTAATACTAAAAAATCCATTATTTTCTGTCTGTAAATACCTCTAAAATCGAACTGTTTAATCATGGAGGTATTGTTGAAATTATGTTGTATCGTGATCCTAAAGTTAAAAACCAACAAAATCTACAAAACATGTACCTCACAGCTTGTCCTTGAATATTTATTTAAAATAAATAGATAAAAAAATGAAGTACCTAAAGTCATGTTCATCCTAAATCAGACTATCACATCTTCAGTTGCTTAGAAGAAAAAAAAATTGAAGTCGAGAGTGTTCGACTTTCAAAGTCTTCAAGTGCGGATCCATCACCTACCAACGGATTAGCGTAGTTTTTCTTCAACACACGAGATGATCGATAAAATCAGACACTTCAAATCGCCCAAGCAATGAAGAAAGCAATATTCGTAACATCTTTTTTTTCTCAAATCTCAAAAGCAAGAAGTACTCTAGAGCAACTTCCTATAATCACTAACATTGTTCCTTCTTCTAATAATCTCTGTCTCTATAACGCTATAACTACATGCAAGCGAAGCTTAATCTAATGCGCATCCTTACTGCCATCAACCAATCGAACAATCATTATTAAAGAAACAACAATGCATTTTTCGTCGGGTTTTGGACAAAACACAAGAGTAAGACATAAACGACGAAGAAACAGGTATCGAAATAGAAAGACCTTAAAGGAGACATCTAATTCAAAATACCTTGCCGAGAGTGTAAGCCAGAGCGGAGCCGGCGACACCAGCTCCGACAATTACGACATCAACTTCGCCGTCGCGCTTCGACTGTCTGCATTCTCCGGCGGCAGTGGTGATATTTTCGGCACACATAGCGGCATCGGTCTCCAACGAAGCGCAACATTTCTTCCCCGCGAAAACAAGATTGCGAATCGCAAATGCGCTCAGCGCGGCGCATATGATCCATCCAAACACGTAGGTGTCCAACATTTGGAGGAACCTCACGGAGACGACGGTGCGATGTTCTCGCTCTAGTTTCTCTCTGTAACTCGCTGGCCGCAACGAGGATTTCGAGAAAAAGCGTGTTTGCGTGCGTTACTTAAGAGAAGCGAGAGAAGTTTCAGGAAGGAACGAGGCTTTTATACGTAGGCAGGGTGGTGGCCATGGCACAGATCCTCTAGCTGTAACTGAAGAAGAAAATTCGAAAAAAGCATTTTTCACAGTAATTTGCACCCCTTCGGTATTAGTAATATATTTAATTTAAATTAATATATTAAAATTCAATAAATATTTAATTTAAATTATTTTTATTTCTATGTATTTTTTAAAACAAAAAATAAAAATAATGCGATAATTTTTATGCATTGAAAATGAAAACAATTATTTTTCTCTCAAAATAAATTGACCCTTAATATATGATAAAGAAACAATAAAGTTAAATGTGCATGAGATAAATTATTCATTGGGATGAAAAGTCGTAATTTGCGCCTCCAAACTTCTTAAATAAATTATTTTTTTCTACATTACAAATAAGGATAAATTTTGATATTAAACACGACTAAAAGCGTTGCTTTGTAACATGATTTTAAACTAGTGTAACTTTTTTTTTTCAAATTTAAAAAACTTCAAACTCTTTATTTAATTTTGTTAAAAGAACTAAGGAAAAAATGTGTTTTGTAATATGACTTCTTGATATAAATTAAAAGATAAAAATCAAAATTACACTTATGTTTCTTTTAAATGCTGAATATGAGAAAAAAATAGATAGATGAATTTTAGGAGATAAAAAGTGGACTGCAGTATTATTTATTTTAGGAGATGAAGATGTGAAAGTGAAGAGATTTAAAGTAAATTTTGTAAATAATTTTACTGATGTGATAGATAAAATTGTTACACTATATTTTTATCTTTATGATGATTAAAATTATTATAAAATAAAATATAATTATTATTATTATCTTGACCAATGGTTATTTATGGAGAATGTGACTGTATTAATTATTCTCACAAGAAAAATGTGAATAAATATTCTACTCTACATCCATCACCATGCTTATGCTTATTCATTGCCAACAACATGCTTTCACAACGTTCAGTTCCTCAATTTACTAAAAGTAAAATAAATTTACTTTTTAAGATTTACTTCTTCTTAGATAAAATAAATTTATGAATAAATCTAAACCTCGTTTTATATTATTTCTTCAAATTTTGACACAACACATTATTAAAAAAAAAAATTCAACATAAATTGGTGTTCATCGTCAAATTTTTCACAAAGAGTTATACTCTCAACGTCATTCTTACTGTAAAAAAGTTATGTTTAGTGCCATTTTCAAACACTTTGTGTCTTGAATCTAAAATGATTTAGATTTATTGTATAAATCAAAGCATTTACAAAAAGTGAGACACAACAAGTTTGTTGCTCAACGCCTTAATGTTAAAATGCTCTCAAATATGTAACACAAATTAGTGTTTAACGCCACTATGGTACCGTTCAGTGCCGTATAGTTGACAACAGATGAATTTTGTAATTTTAAGTGAAATTTGATTTGATCAGTTGTTCAAGTTGATACTTTTTTGTTATTGCATTGAATCAAAAGAGTTTTAAACATTAAAACTTTTACTAATTTACTCAAATGTTCATATTTTAAATTCTCTCAATCACACAAGCAAGCACAAAAATCATGAACCAATAATTCAATTTAAAATAATCACACACACCAATGAAATTCATCAACATGTAAATCATCAAATTATCAAACTCACGTACACCAAAACAACTAGTTTCCCTTACTTAACCCAACAATTCACAGCAAAATACTTTCAAACTTGCAGATGCTCTATCTTAGACATAGAAACATCACAAGAACGATCAATACTTACCATTATGATCATTGATCAAGAGAGACTCAACATGAAAGTGAAAAAAGACTTATATGCAACAACACATAACGAAAAAACCAAAAAAATGATTGAAACTTGATTTACATAAACAACTGATTGGTCAAAAAGTGAAGAGTTCACTACAAATATCACTCACATTGTATCATCTTTTGAATCAAATGAGTAAATAGAAATAATTTTGAGAACTCTAGAAAAGTAATTTTCTATATAAATTATATGTTTTAAAATAATGAAACTTGTTAATAGCAAAATTATTTATATTAAAAAATTTTAATATTAAAATAATCGAGTCTCACTGTTTTTAAACCACTTGTCATTTATTAAATATCATTTTTAAAATCTTTATAAAAGTGGTATCAATTTTTATAAAAAAATTAAGTTATGTTTTATTATTATTATATTATTTCAGTTAATTTTTATGTCAAATCCATTGTAATTATATCAATGTAATTAAAACTATAGTTTAGGTTATATGTTTTTATAATTAGTGACCTATTTATATTTTGATATTTTATAGTTAAAGTTATTATTTTGATGAAATTTATGAGAAGCATGGTGGTGGGTGGGTGTGTAATTTGGTAGTGGCACAAAATTACAACTGACATTGTCCCTACGTTGTGGTCGCAATGGTGGCAGAAACATTGATGTAACACTAACACATGCCATATTTGGTTTGCGTAGGATCCACCATACAGTGAACGTGTTCTTTGGTACTCCACCACTACTACACACTTCACACTATCCTTAATTAGGTGAATTATGCAAATGATTTGTAGCTTTAAATTTAATTATGAAAATGATTCATAAATACTAAAAATATGCATCAATATTGATATATATTTAGAGAGAATAAAAGTGATAAATTTATAGGTACGAATGGACATGAATATTGATTTTATTATTTTATAATACTTTTTTTAATAAAATTTCAGTCATATTTTTATATCTATATCTATTAAACGGATATAATTTTTTTTTTCACATCCAAATTTTTACTGCACAATAAATATAAATGTAATTGTGCTAAAAAAATTATTTGTTGATATAAATTAATTAATTTTATAGAAATAAAATAAAAATCCGACAAATAAATCAAGATGTTATTAAATATTTAAATAACAATTGAATACAAATGAAAAAAATATATAAAATATCATCTATGCATAAATAAAATTGAATGACAATACAAATATTTATTAATTTTGTAAACACTAAATAAACAAATTGATAAAGTTAAAAAATATTTATAAAAAGAAAATAATTATTTAAGTTTAAACATATTTAAAATATCTCCTTTATCCAGATTTATCTTTTTTATATAATTGCAATATAAAATTACATTTATGAAAACAATTAGTAATAAAACTAATTATATCAAAAAAATCTAATCAATATTTTATATTATAAAAATATACAATAAATAAAAATATTAAAAATGAAATAAAAATATTAAATGTGTATAGAAAATATTTGATATATCATTAAATAAAATTATATGAAAAACATGTATAATCAATAATACATTAAATGAAAATTTTCTTACATATCCAAACAAACGTTTTAGATATTAATTTTGTTGAATAATTGAGAGATAATGAAAAATTATTTTAACAAAATAATTTTTTTTAAATAAAATGAAATTTAAAGATCAAAGACAATAAATAAGATATATATCTTTTATATTAGGTAATAAATAAAGAGTTTATATTATTAAACACTTATTTTATTAAATACTTATTTTATGAATAATAAATAAAAATATTAAAATAAGAAAAAAATAAGGATCATGAACTTTTTCTTCCACCTTCATTTGTAAGTCTGAATATAAAGTATGTGTTTGCAGTGAAATAAATTTTTCATATGTAATGTTAAGCATGTGATTATTGTTTTAAAAAGTAATCTATGATGCAACACGTTAAAAATGTTTGCCAATCATTAATGAATATTTCTTTATTTTAAATTTATATTTAATTAATATTAATATCGTTTGATTACCTTACATGATAATTGTACAATCTATTACGTAAACATGTTCATATAATCATACAAGTATTATTATCACGATATACTAAGATTTTCCATCTTTCACGAACTTGATTTAGTAATTTTCCATTTAGAAGAGATGCAATTAGAAAAAAAACAAGTGGAAATAAGACAAGGAGCTATTTGAATTTGATTGAACTAATAAAAAGTAATATAATTCAATTTTAATTTATAAAAATATTTTTTCATCTAAGCATGCAATAAAAAATAAAAACGAAGAGTTGACACTAGAAATTAAATTGCACTTTGTTATTTATCATCCTATAACTTTTTATAATAATAAAAATAATGAAAAATATAGAAATCCGCCGTCAAGTCAAAGATTATGCAAAGGAAATAATACTAAGGAAAATTTGTGTCTTGGTCTGTCCAAATCAGATTCCTTTTACAATGTGATGACAGCCAAAATCCAGCTGTTTAGGACCCACCAACCACATTAAGATCCAATTTTCTCTTATGGTATAATATGTTAATAAATATCTACATTAATTTTTATTTATTATATCACTCCAAACAAATTCCAATTAAGTTAATTTCTTTAATTATTAAATGCTTACTAATTATCCTTTTTTGACACTTTAATCAACGTGGTGTATTTTATTTTAAGCCTGAAAAAAAATTGAAATTGACTTTCATTTGATATAAATGAAAATGCAACCAGTATATATACAATTTTTGAAATAAAATCTCTTATGCTATTTTTTTTATATAATAAATACACTATTCTTCTGTATTAAGTTGTGAAATATAATTTTCAACGATCCCAAAATTGTAATTTGACATTAAAACTTTTCTCCTTAACTGCTTTGGACTTATTTTTAATTATGTATTAATACGAATTATTGATATGGAATATATATAATGACTAATATCATTAAAACCTTTGACCCACATTATGAATAATTAGTTGAAACTAATTTCCTAATTAGCAGCAAATTTCCTTTGTTTTAGTTTGGTTTCATTAATTTGACTATCTGATGTTTCTACGACGTGATTTCAGAGGGAAAATTTCCATCTTAGAACGTCAGGATTCATATGAACATGTTCAAAAGGTTAATCATTGTTAAATATAACATTGGGTTGACCTATAAATATCAACACTGAAATGGTTCTAAATTTTTCCTATATTTTCCTTCATTTAGTCAAAAAAATTCGTACACTAATTACATATTAAAAATTCAAAACTAAAAATACTAAGGTTATAAAAAGAAACTTATGAAACGGATTATATTTTTAACCTATATGATTCAGTTTTAATGGACCGACGTTAAAATAAACCATAAAGTAACTGACCAAATTTAGTTTTTGGCACCTTACGTATTATCACAAATCATGCATGTTAGCATGGTCAATGCTGTATAAAGGACAGATGAAAGAAAAAAAAAAAAAACTATTCTTCATATGCTATCTACGATGAAGACAATGTCGTACATACTCCACCTAGCTGTTTGAGGTATCAACATGCAAATTAAGAACATAATTAAGTATTTGTCTATGTACCTTTTCTCATTTGATGTTCATTACTGCCTTTTAAAGTTGATTAATTAACCTTTAAATTTTAATAGAATGTGAATTCATTAAAAAAAATCAATATACATTTCTAAATACTATTTCTTTATATAATATGCATTATCTGTTATCAGTAAAAATTATTTAGTAAATAAAAATGAAATGAATTTTTTTAATTTGTAATAAATATTGGGAGGCAAGTTTTAGAAGTGAAAAAGAAAAAAATGTATTTTCCAGCTATAAATTGGCACCATCACATATCTCTCCATGCGTTATCGTGTGTTCGCTTAAACCTCCAAGAAAACAAAAAGCTCACAGACAACACTCTAATGAAACAGAACCAGAGAGAGAGAGAGAGAGAGAGGCAGCAGTGAAATTGTAACATAACACAAACATCATTGTCTTCTCTTCGTACACTGCAACAACTACTGCATACATGTCTTAGAAAAACCATTGACGTTTGAAGAGGTCGTTCGGTTTCACTTTTGGTTTCATCAGTAACAATGGATCCTTGCCCCTTCGTGCGTCTTATGGTAGACTCTCTCGCTCTAAACCTTCCCTCCGCCACCAAGGCCCCACCAATCTCCGGCGTCCACCCTTCCACCACCCCATGCTTCTGCAAAATCCGCACCACCAACTTCCCCTCCCAAACCGCGCTTCTCCCTCTCTCTCCCTCTTCCTCCTCCGCTCCCGACGCCGTCACAGCCGCCCCCGGCTTCCACCTAGACTCCGCAACCCTCCGCCGTCCCATCTCCCTCCGTCTCGCCGTCTACTCCGGCAGCACAGCCCGTGCCTGCGGCGTCTCCGCCGCCAAGCTCCTCGGCCGCCTCACCCTCACCCTCGACCTCACTTCCGCTCGGGACCGCCCCATCACCTTCCACAGCGGCTGGCTCAGCCTCCGCAGGAACAAAACCGGCTCCGAACCCAACCGAAAGCCCTCGACTCGGCTCCACATGGCGGTCCGGTCTGAACCGGATCCGCGGTTCGTGTTCCAGTTCGGGGGCGAACCGGAGTGTAGTCCGGTGGTTTTCCAGATTCAAGAGAATAATATCAGACAGCCTGTCTTCAGTTGTAAGTTCAGCGCTGATCGTAACTCAAGATCGAGGTGAGTGTGTCAGCGATTTTTCTTCTTCTATTTTTTACAATAATAATAATAAATGATAATAATAATAATAATAATAATAATAATAATAATAATAATAAAATTAATAATAATAATATGGTGCATTTTAGTTTTCAATCGCTCTTCTGGTACTCTGTGCTATAGTTGTTTAATCAACCAACGACTCTAACACACACACTTCATCTTTTTCACCTTTTTCCATTTACATATTTTAAAAATTAAATATTTTTATAATTTCCGCGGAGTTTTGCAAAGAGAAATAGAGGTTACAGGTTAAACATGTGAAATAAAAAAAAATTGTTTCAATTTTTTCTTTCTTCTTCATGTTTTGATTAGAGGTCAGGTCGTTAAACTTCGAACTTAGTCCACATTTATTTTTATTTTAACCAAACTTATTTACATAATTTGTATTTTTGAGGTTGTTCTTCAATTAAAGTTCAATCATACCGAACTTTATTACAAACTTTTATCATAAAGTTCAATTTTTAATTGAAAAGTGAAACAAAGTACTTGAGAGACCGGACCTAATTAAGTTGTGGCCGGTTTAGATTATCGTTTAAGCTTCATTACCATGTTGTAACTTTATCGATTTTTAATAGTACTTTAAAATTTAGATTTAATAACTGAAATTGTAATTGTTTTGGGATGTAAAAAGTGTATATATTTTGTTCAATCCAATTATTTGGAATTCTATTGTTTAGGATTTTTTCTTATATCCATATTAAATATCACGAGGGCTTGTGTTTTTCTATTAGTAAATATTAAAAAAAATATAAAAACATTAACAATGAAGATTAATTCAGTAGATTGTTAATATAATTTTTAAAAAGTCAACTAAACTAACTGCTTACGCTTTAGTCCAAAAAATAAAGAATTTAGATTTTTCATTGGTTTTTCCCGAGTTTTAAAATATATTGATGAACACTATAGTCAATATATTTTAAAAAAAAATCAACATTTAGTTCCAAAAATAAATAATTTAAATTTTCAATTAAGTTTTTCTGTTTTGTTTTAAAATATATTGATGAACAATAATTTTAATGTTTTAAAATATATTAAAAATATTTTTAAAATATTAACTTTTTTAATGTTAATTTTAATGCATCACCAAAAAAATCCAGCACAGAATCTGAAGTAAAAAGGAAGCATGCATGGGTTTGAGAAATAGAAAGCTAATAATGGGTGACATGTGAATTTGTGTGGTAATAGGAAAGTTTTGTGATGCAAGGATTATCGGTGTGGGTTGGCAAAGTTATGAGAGGTGGGTCTAATATGTTTGGTTAATTATAGTAATGAATTAAGGTGAGGTTAGGCATCTGGGCTGGCTGGTTTGTCCATATCTATGGAGTTTCTACCTAACCATTACCACATTCTTTCTCTCTTCTCTCTCTCTCTCTCTCTCACCTTATTCACCTCATTCATGTTCATGCTTCTTTTCTCTTTCTTACCTTTTCTTTCTTTCACTTTCTCCTCAAGCTAGAATTAACTAACTGTTTGACAAGTTTAAATTAAGTTTTCCCTGCATGTGCCTGTTTGGTCAAACAGACAGCATAGATTTTCCAAACTGTGAAACTAAACAGCCATGGATTCCCTCCCATGTGCCACTGATCTGCCTGCAGTCTCAATATCTCATAATTTAGTATCCTACCACGTTTGACAGTTTTATTAGGTTGTTTCTTGTCTTACTAAATTTATTATGTTTTTCAGTTTAATTATACTTCCTAACCAGTCATGAACAGTATATCCTTTTATTTTCTTCAGGCATTCGTATCTGATATTGATGCCACAAGATATTGTGCCTATTGACTATTCAAATCTTTAGAAAAGTAATGACAATTTAATTAGATTACACATGATACGATATGTATAAACATGTGCTATAAAAATATAAAAACAAGATACATTAAATGTTTTGTTTGTTACTGTTGGAAATTCAGGTCTCTACCTTCAGATTTCGGCAACAATCTCAGCAGATGGAGGAGAACCTTGAAGGGTGTTAGAGAGCGTCATGGGAGGGAGAGAAAGGGTTGGATGGTGACGATCCATGATCTCTCTGGCTCACCGGTTGCTGCTGCTTCCATGATCACCCCGTTTGTTCCTTCCCCCGGTTCAGATAGAGTGTCTAGATCAAACCCAGGTGCATGGCTCATTCTGCGGCCCAACGGTGCCTCGGTGAGTAGCTGGAAACCGTGGGGTCGGCTAGAAGCATGGCGAGAGAGAGGTCCCGTAGATGGGTTGGGCTACAAGTTCGAGCTTGTTGCTGAGAATGGAGCCGTACCTATCGCTGAGGCCACTATGAATGTGAAAAAGGGTGGCCAATTCTGCATTGACTACAAAGTGATGAAGGATTCAGGGTTGAGTTCAAGGTTACCGGGAAAAGGGTTTGTGATGGGTTCTACTGTTGAAGGTGAAGGCAAAGTGAGCAAACCTCTGGTGCAAGTTGGAGCACAGCACGTGACGTGCATGGCTGATGCTGCTTTGTTCATTGCACTCTCTGCTGCCATTGATCTTAGCATGGATGCATGCCAGCTCTTTTCGCATAAACTCAGGAAAGAGCTTTGTCATGAAGAACATGTTTCTTTTCCCTAGTCAAACATTAAACTGTGTTTGTGTTCCTTAAATTATGTGGTACCATCTGCTGCAGTGATAGTCAATGTGAAAACTTTGGTTTGAGCTTGCAGCTTGGACCGATTCTTGTTTTGTCGTGGTTGGGTTTTCTGATTAGAAGGTGATTTTAGCAGCATTTTTTGCACTGAGCTGTACAGACAAACAGACAGCAGGCAAATGTCTGCTTATATATATATTCAAATTTTTATTTATTTATCCAAATAGTATTATTAATATTTAATTTTTAAATCAGTTCTTTGAAACTTATTACTACCTCTAATTAAATCATATTAAATAAGAAATTCAACATTTTCCATCTAATATTTTAGTGAAAATTTAAAAAGAATGTATATATCAAACACTCTTTAAAATATAAATTAACAAAAGTTTTTTAATCCAATTAGATTTAATTTTGATGAGGGATTAAGTCGCAAAAACTCAAAAAGTCAGCCTAGTTCATGTGTTTGTTTTCTGCAAAAGTTTATTTTTAAATATAATATAATTTTAGAAAGTTAAAAAAAAAAACAAATTAGGATCAAGTTTTTGTAAGCCCATAAAACTCAGCCCGATTCGAACGAAGGGGAATTATAGTTCCATTCAGTTGCATTTTAGAAACCAATTTTTTCTTTCTCCCTTTTATTTTATATATAGAAAAAGGAAAAAGAAAGTAGTCGCCGGCTACCGGATCCCTTCAGCGGCCTATCTGTTTTCCGGTGATGGATTCCGGCGTGTGGCTGCTGTCCCTGCTGGTGGCCCTCTCAACGGTCAGCCACATTCGGTCGGAGCCGATCCTGAGGTTGCCGTCGGAGAAGGCAATCTCGAGCGATTACTGCGACAGCTGGAGGCTGGCGGTGGAGACGAACAACGCGGGGGCGTGGGAGCGCGTGCCGGTGAATTGCGTGGATTTCGTGGCCGAGTACATGACCGGAGAGCGGTACCGGAGGGACTGCGAAGTTGTTGGGAATTTGTCGTTGGCGTTCGCGAGGAGCGTGAGAATGGTCGGAGACGGAAGAGACGCGTGGGTGTTCGACATCGACGAGACGCTCCTCTCCAACGTGCCTTACTATCAAGAAATTGGATTCGGGTAAGTGATGATTATGCTGATTGGTTTTAGAGTTTTGCGTTTTGTGGCCCTAGGATTTTGATTGGAATGTGTTTGTCCTGAACCTCATTAGGCTCCAAATGCTTGCTAACCATTGTTGAAACAATTTATCGTATAGTAATTATTGAATACAAATACAATGCTGCTTTATAGGATACTTTTCTAGAGAAAACAGTACATTTTCTAGCCTACTCTTTTAAATAACTTTTTCATGAAATAATGGTACAATAGGCTATCGAAGTTTGTTGATATACTCCAATTGCATCTACTGTAGTCACTATGGATGATCTGTCCAATTGACACGTATGAAAGAATCAATGTTGGATCTGTCCAATTGGATCTCTGGGCATGCATGTGAACATTAGTTGTTGAAGGCCTATAGAATGTCCATTTTTATGAAATCTTAGACTTACAAAAAACATGTTTATTAAAATAAGAGCTCGTTATTGTAAAAAATGAGAATTATAAATTCGGACTGAACTGTCATATAAATCCAAATTTCTGTCTTGGGTTGAAAGTTCTGCATGAATTTTTTTTGAAGTTTTTTTTACCAGAAGCAAGAAAAAGACAAAGGGGATGGGTAGTGTGATGTTTATCTTGAATGGGTAGGTCAATGACACGAAGAAGAGGCAGGGGTAGCTCAAAGTATGATGCAATGCCATTGTTATACGCTTATATGCCAGCTGTAATTGTTTTATTCTTTGGTAGTGCAATTCTTATGCCCTGTCCAATTTAATTATAATATAAATTGCATTAGCTTACCCAAAAAATATATAAATTTATTTATTATATTTAAATTGTTCCATTTAGCCGCAAGAAAATGGTTTACTAGATAAAAAAATTGTTTGAGGCTTAATTATTTGACCAAATAGTATAGATGGATGATCATTGTATTAAATAAGTTTTTATTATCTAGTTATTTATGTGCAAGTCACTTTTATACTTGGAGTAGAAACAAGATTAAATTGATGTATATAATTATGGTCAAGCGTATGCTTGCATTACAATTTGTATAATACCTATTTGGATTAAAATTTGATCTTATGTTTGGGTTAAAATTAAGTTTGTAAACCAAGTTTACAAGATTACCCTAAGTCTTACTTCTATTAAACTGAGATTTAAGGCAAAATTTTAGTGTACAAACATACTTTTAAGAGTAACCAGATATTTTTCAAAGTTGTTTTTCCTTTCTAAACTGAATTTGGAACAATCCAAACTTAAAACCACATAGGCTAAATTGTTTTCATATCATATTTAAAAAAAATTAAATTAAACAAGTGTTTATTTTATTTGTTAAGTCTAAATAGCTGTAAATTAACTTTTTCAAATGCATCTTTTCTTATCATTGATGTTGCAGAGAGAATCTTAAGTTGAGAAGTTGCTTTTGGATGAAAGTTTTGATGGGCGTTAAAAGTGCTGGATGTATAACACTCGATGTAACTAGCCTTTAGGAAAAGGAGATCTGAACTGTTTCGAAAATGAGTTTCTGTAACTGTAATTGTTAAGGATTCTGTTATTTTGACGAATTGAAAAGTTGCCTAAAGTTAAAGAATAACTGAAAGTTGTAACAAACGTAGTATAACTAGGAAGGGTACTTTATCAAATATCAATGGCTCTCGGTCTCATGTCTTGGAATTGGGGGGATTAATGAATAGATGCAATGTGGTTACTATTAGTAATCGGAAGTTAATTTTAGCCAAAAGACTCGTGTTCTTTCTTTCAATTTAAAATGCGTGAAAACTGAAATCTATAAGTGATTTTCTTAACCCATGGCAGTTGCTTGTGAGAATTTCTTTGTTGAAGTTGATTATGGGCTTTTGTTTTAAACTGCAGATTTGAGATCTTCAATGAGACTTCCTTTGATACTTGGGTGCACTCGGCTGCTGCCCCAGCTTTGGCAGCCAATTTAATTTTATATAACGAGCTTAAGGAATTGGGGTTCAAGATATTTCTCTTAACTGGGAGGAGTGAGTATCAAAGGAATGCCACGGAGACAAACCTTCTGCTTTCAGGTTACAGAAATTGGGAGAGACTTATCTTAAGGTACATAAATTACTGGTTCTTGGAAATATGTATCTTATTTTATTGAACAAGTTTTAACTGAAATTCTTTGTTAACGAAACAGAGGGTCTTCTGATAAAGGCAAACCTGCCATTAGTTACAAGTCTGAGAAGAGAGAAGAGGTGGAGAACGAAGGCTACATGATTCATGGGAGCTCTGGGGATCAGTGGAGTGATTTGTGGGGTTATGCAGTAGCCGCACGGTCTTTCAAACTCCCAAACCCAATGTATTATATTCCATAGCAATGTCTTCTCAGAAATCTGTATTATTTTTTACGATTCCCAGTTGTAGTTCCCTGCCGTGATTTTTCATGGTAATGTAATGCTTGTTGTCTGTTGCAACATGGTAATTTAAAAACTGGGGAATGATTATTTTTCATTTCATTGTACAACAATGGTGCTGAAGTTTGAGTCCAGAATCTCTAACAGATTATTTAAACCTCTAACTAGATCGACATCAGGGTGTTTTTTGAGGAATGATTGTAAATCTTTTTCAAACAACAGTTTCATAATAATTGTCTCTCTAAACCAAAAAAAAAGTGTTGATATTAAATTGTAAGATATCAAATGTATTACATTTTTATTTGATATCTTTTGTTAAATATTAAAAAAAAATTGATAAAAAAACACATCAAAACTTAATTTTACTTTATTTTGTGTTTTAGTTAGCAGGTTTCACCAAATAGCACTAAATATTTTAAACTTGTGAGGGTGTTTAAACAAGGGCATCTCTAATGTGCAATCTATGCAGTATGCATATCTATTGCTGCATTAATACCTGTCTAATAATTGGTGTATCTTGAAGTATTAGCAAGCCACAATGGCAATCTCATGCAATATCCTCACTTGTATTATTGAAGACAGGAGCACCTTTCCAACTAATTTAGATATAACCTTGTGATGTAACCTAGTGCATTACAGTGGTGTGAAATTTACCTGTTTAGAAGCTATCAAGTAGGGTCTTGTCGAATGTGGTTAGTGAAGTTGTTGATGGAATAATTGAAGAACCCGTGATAAACCAGTACAAAATAAAGTAGCTAATATCAAGCAAGCATGTCACGGGAAACATAAACTAAGCTATCCATCTTTGATGATGCGGGTCAAGGTAGATAGATAGAGTAGATATTAGAAGCATCCCAAATAAATTTCCATTAAGATATAGGCATGAATATATATATATATATAGATATATATATATATATATATATATATATATATATATATATATATATATATATATATATCGGTTTATTTCGTTTTACAACCTTCAAAGAAGGTTAGTATTTTGGTGATGTTATTAGTTATTAGATATCGGTTATTAGTTATTTGATATGTGAATTTTAGTTTTGAGATGTGATTAGTTATTGAAGATATGATTTTTAGTGATTGGATATTGGATATTGGTTATTGGTGATGTGATTTTTAGTTTTTCTGTTACATATTGTCTCTTGAGTATGCATGAATGATTAATTAAGTTTGAGGTGTTAATTATGATATTGAGATATGAATCATTGAGTGAACTTAGGTTATGTTTGAGAGTTAACAACAAACCGATTAAACTTTTAATCGTTTGTATTAAATTTTGAATTGTCCGACCGGACAGTTTGGAAAAATTATTTTTCATAATTTACTATAACAAGTACGTTGGGTTTATGGATAAGTTTGATAAAATTTCGGTTGAGATTATTTGTATTGTTCTCCATATGCATATTTGATTGGGGTCATCCGTGACCACTTTTAATTCGTGTATTTCAGATACCAATGAGAAATGCTGCCGAAATCTTATCAAATTTATCATGTTAGACTTCTTTGTATGTGTATTAGCAAATTATGAAAAATAATTTTTCCGAATGGGTAGGGCCAAACCTTGTGAGAGTTAAAAATTTGAGACTGATGAAGTTTGTTACGAAGTATGGATTGAAGGTGAATGAATGAATGTCACATCAGTCAAGAATATGAAAAAGGAGTTTCGGAGTTCTTGCAATAAGTTCAACAAAACGCAAACTCTGTGAACGAGACATATTTTTGTCCTTATATTTGTTATCTTAATCAAAT